CCCCAAAACCCCAAAACCCCAAAACCCCAAAACCCCAAAACCCCTTTATATAGGTGAGAATTGCAATATTCTAAAATAATAAACAAGATGAAGACCTTACTTTTCTATTTAATAATCTTAACCCTTCTACTCACTTTTACTTATCAAAAAGATGCTCATCTAACACAGGCTTGCAACAAGTGTCTTGGAGATCCCTTCAAAAAGTGGTGTAGGCCGACTAACAATGAAGACGGTGGAATTTGATGAGATCTTAATGATCCTAACGCTGCTTGTCAGCAAGGTGAAGCGAACGTGTGTTCAAATCAAAAACAGTTTACCTCTTCAAGTGCTAAGCTGCTCTGCCCCTCTGGAATTAAAGCTTGCCAAGCTCATGTGGAAAAGGAAGTCAACAACAAAGAACAGAAGATTACATATCAAGTGCATATGGATCAGAACGACCTTTGCTGGTTCAAAGTTTAGTCATTGAAACAGTAAAAAATCAGAAATCTGCTCGGCTACAACCATTTATTTTTGTCTGAATGCCTATCTTTTTGATAAAAATAAGACTTCTAATAACATTTCAGGGAACATGGCAAGCACTCAACTCGAAATATATGCCCAAAGGAATGAACTAGATTACCAAATTATCAACCAAGAAGTTAATTTTCAGACAATTTCCATTCCCATTGAGAAAGATGTTGAGAATATCTATTTCCTACTCCAGTCCTCGAAAGATGAGGCTTATGCTAGTTTTGAAGTACAAATTATTCCACATGAGTAAGATTTTATCGGAATATCCTATAGACATCATGATAGAGGACGAAAGCATCACACTCTATTACATCATATTATAGAAACAGTAATTCATCTTATCATAATCGATGGAATCCTTATGATGCTAGTGTCAGGAACTCTTTATTTCATTGGGTTCAATCACAAGCTCGTCTGAATACGTGTAAAGAAGTTCAATGAAGCTCAAGAGAAAAAGACTCAAAACGAAATTCAGGCTATCAATGACGAAGAAAGATGAGCAGTTCAAGTCTTTCCATCTCCCTTGCCGGATCTTAGTATATAGATTATCATAATTTATAGACTCCAAAGATCAGAGTATTGATCTTAATACATCAAAAAACTACACTGAAAGAATTAGGTAAGCCCATTATTATAATATTTAGCACTCCTGCTTTAAAGAATCCAGGCTTCAGTATTGTTAAAGATATATTTTTGAAGAGAGAGAGCTTCTAAACCATTTTATTTCTCAAATTAATAATATTTCACGACTACTAGCTAAGTACTTCAACCTTCTCTCTCATGTCAGGGGTTTTGGGGTTTTGGGGTTTTGGGGTTTTGGGG